CTGGAGATGTTTTCGGTATTTTTCTAGTTCTTCTGCAGATGCAATCAAAATGCCATCAATAAAGGGGAAAATAAAGTTTAGATTATGTGTTACGTGATCGATAAATCTTTGAGAGCGACGTTATTATTGCTGTTTTACAGACGTCTTCCGATGGAACAGAAATTAGATTAAGTGTTCGGACGAGATTGATAGTCGCAAACATTTTTCGGTCATACCTACGCGAAAAGTTCCATTTTACTCCCCATATGATGGGAAGAAAGTGGCATGTTCCATCGCTCGGATTTCTGCTATTTGAGGATCCGCGGCATGACATAATCCACATTCCTCCCATCATTTACGAAGAAAAATCGAGCTTTTCCGTGTAGTGATGATGAAAAAAACAGTGTCCAAGGAAGGGAAATAGGACATTCTGACCCGCGTGTTTACCACCTATGGTAATACACACGCCGGTTAGAATGCCTTATTTTCTTTTGGTGCACAATATACGATTCTCCCCGCGAGATTGACAATAAAATCTTCAACTATCCGAACAGGATATCTATTCGGCATTCTACGAGCCTTTTGTCCACGATAGTCTCCGCAGGGCCGCTAGTTACTTTATTCTTTTGCCACCCAATGTAGTGGAGAAGACCAGGAGCTCATTGAACGACCAGTTTCATCATCTTTTGAAATTCCTACTGCGCGATAGCTGGTTTATGTGGCTCAATACGACGACCTTTACCTGATACAGGTGCCCCAAATATCGTTGCGACATGATGGACCGTTGTGTGAATAGTTGGTTGACTAAATCAATCCGGTTTAGTTATCGACGGAAATTTTGGAATTTTGAATGTTGGTCCACGATGAATCTGTTGGTTAAACTGTGATCGCCGAAACTATATTGGATAATGAGGCTATACATGATGTCGATAATACAGTCGTGAAACCTAACACGCAATTTTTTTTTAACCCGGTAAAAGTTTGCAAGGAAATCAGCACTGATAATTGGTTTTTCGTGATCCGCGATAACGAAACGCCAGGTCAAAACAATATGTTAGGACGATACAGAACGAACCGACCTCAAAATGAACGTAACTATAAGTATAGCTTCGCTCCAATTTTTCAATATATATTATTAAAAACCTATGATACTGCGTCCAGAACGTCAACGCTACGTCACGTGATTTGTGTATTGGCGGTAAAACGCGGGCGAGAATGATTTTGAATTAACAAATTACGATTTACGTTTTTCTCCGTAAAATATAATAATGGTTAATATTGAGAGAAACAAATCGAATGAATTACTCTATTACAATGATTTGAGAATTGGGAATATTGTTCTGAAAACATTCAATATCACCGATATAACCCGACATCACTATAGCTGAAATTTTTCCACAGTGTTACAGAACCCCATCGACTCGTACCATCATGACTTGCAAGACGAAATGATATCTGAGGCGAATCATTGGGCCGAGGGTGAACTGGTGCCAGACAAATGAAACCTGCAGTTAATCGAGCCATGGTTGTACGAGACAGCCGGTATCTTCGACGTAAGCAGATGTGAATTACTAAAACTCTCTGAATTTTGAACTGCAAAGATATCCAAAGTTACTACGAAACTTTGAAGACACTTTTGCAATTTATTCTACAAAAACAGAGGGCAGCTGTATGACGTGCTGGAGATCTGCAGGAAAAGTAGATTCGATTCAAGTCTAGTGAAAAAGCAGCTCATAAGAGCAAGCTTTGGATTTAGATGGAATTACCAAGTCCATTTAAAATGTTGGGGATTCATTAAAAGAACGCAAGCGATCGATTTTCAGAGGACCGGTCTGACTCCGTCTGATGTCAACTCTTATTCTTATCAACGGCAATAATTGAGACTTCAGAGCATCAGACCAATTCCCACGAAGCCAACTCTTAACTCTGGAAATAATTCAGAATTCAGAGAACCAGCCCAATTCTTTCGAAGCTAACTCTCAACTTGGGAAACAAAGTTGAGAATGCCTGTTTTGCCACTCAAAAAAGTTACTATTTTCAACAATCCTTCACAGTTCGATGTATTATAGTACGATAGGTTGATTGACTGCAGCAATTATTGGTTTATTATTATTACCATGATAGTCAATTGAAGTGATTTTGGGGATATTGAATATTTTCAGAAAAGTATTTCTAATCTTCAAATCATTACGATAGTGTAATGGATGACCTTCCCGCCATACAGTTATGAACTCATTCAATATACTCTCAATATTGACCATTATTATATTTCACGATGAGAAGCATAAACAGGATTTTTTTCATTCAAAATCATTTTCGTTCCTTGCGTCTGCACCAAGATACAAATCACGTGCAGTAGCGTTCACCGGAACGCAGTGTTATAATTTTTAACAATATATTTTTAAATATTTACTAATCAAAATTAGACTAATTAATTAATGTTCTACAACTGGTTCTCTATCCATAGAAAGTGAAATCATTAAAAAAGATCAGTTTTTTAAATCTGTCGGCCAAACTCATGTTAGAATTTGAATTGCTGATTTGACAATAATATACACAATGCAAACAGATACAAACATGATAGGCAAAAGAAATAGACCAGGGAAGAAGAGCCCAAACATCCAAAACGTGTTAAAACCCCACCATCTTAATAGACCATGGGAAAATTAGCATTGGTTTATTTTTTCTGCGGTCTTTTTCTTCAGGTATTCTACAAACCTAGACCAACCGATACAATTCGTTTATTGCATGAAATGTTATCACCTATCGGCTATTAGGCGAATGGATGAGACAGACAGACATATATATATATATATATATATATATATATATATATAGAAAATAATGAATTTTTTTACCAAGTATACGGTGGTGTACGTTTTCTTTCCGACACACAACTTATGTTTTTCCTTACGTTAGGGGGCACGGATTATGATCGGTTCGGGTGGATTTGTGAATGCACAAGCGTGGTTTAAACTAAAAACTAAAATTCCACCATTATGATACGTGAATACCTCCAAATAGAACATAAAATAGATTATTCAACACATAAATAATAAGTAGCCTGTATGGCTATTGCTGGAAATTCTAATAGTCAATTATAATGGTCAACTAATATTTATTAACCCAACAATGATTAGGACAATAAGCGGATGTTGACGTTACGAACTGATTTACTTAGCCGATAAAATAGACGGGTTTTTCCCTGCCAGCAGAAATCACTCTCCCTACAATGTTTGTGCTCGCTAGAAATTTAGTCCTAGCAATATTAGCAGAAAAAGCTGCGAAAGGTATTCAAGCAGAGCACGAGCGAGGTAGGATTCAAGCAGATAAAAAAATAAATGCTGAAATAAGGCACTCTAGATGAACGTTCTTTTAAAAAATGATTTAGATAAATTTATTGTAATTTTTCCTTTTTTTGGTACGTTATAGGATTTTAGGTAACTAAACAAATATCTTGAGGAAGCTTACAAAAGATCCAACAGAAAGACTCATTCGACGAATTTCGCCCATGCTACCTGAGCCAGGCTCGACATCATCAATTCCAAAGTGGATTCAGGTAAATTTCATTTAGCATAATCAATTTATGGCTAATTAATATATTCTTTATGGTAGGTTTCTGTCACTTGGAGGGATTATTGATAGGAAGATGTCCGGATCTTTATTGGAGTGGAATTTCAGTTTAAACCATTCGCCGCTTGTGTGCTCACAAATTTACCAGAATCAACCATGACCGGCACTTTCAATTGTTACTCCATTTGTTACTCCAAGGTTATCCACATAAATAAGAGCAATCATCACTGTAGAAATGACGACCGTTATTTAGTAGTAGAAGTTCAATATCGACTAAATCGAACGAGTGTTTAGTAGCCTGGGCGTTTAAAATACTATTATTAGTGATGTGAATAACAAAAAGGAGGTTTAGGCAGATCCCTTCGTTACCCGATAATGACGCGATGAGTGAGTGATTTAATTAATTTAGATTGAATATATTGAATAGCTCTAGAATGGCAGCGGGGGTATATCACCCATTGTATTCGTTCAGGAAGGGTTGGGGTTTGGTGTTATGACGTGTCAGGAAACTTTACAATTATCTAAACCATTCACTGGTTGTGTCTCTATTATCTTTGAGTGTAACAGCATGTGTTGTCTTCGGGGCCAGAAATACCTCTACATCCACGGCGTTGGTTTTGGATAATGGAACGAGCTATGTAGATAAGATGAAAAACCACCCCCTCAACCAGAAAAGTCAATTACAACTATTGATCGGGTTGCATGCAAATTCTGACCTTTGTTGGAGGCTAAGTAGCTGGTGCGAGTCTACTATATAATTAGCTGATTATTACATCACGCGATCTCACCAACCATCCATAATGGAGCGTTATAAGTGATATACCTCCGCTACCCTCTTGCAGTTATTCTATTTAATGTAAATGAATTGAATTACCCACTCCTTACGTCAACAGCGGAAGAAAGGAGGACTATGGTATTATTTGGTGACGAAAGGATCTGCTCAATCCTGTCCAATGGTGTACGGTGACTTATAATTCTCTTAAACACCCTCGGAAATTGGGAATGGTCGTGAATTCCTCGCCAGTCGGTGTATATTTATATTTCCATCAATTTTGTTCAAGCTTTCCTGAACCCCCCTTTCTGGAAACCCAGGTTACCCGGGATAGCTCCCCGTAAGAATCTACTATATAATTATCGTAATTTCTTCTGTCACGGAATACAGATCTAAAAATTTAGAAATATCAATCTTTTATCAGTACTAGTTAAAAATGGCTAACTTTGACGGTTTATAGTTATGTACACTATAAAACCGGTACGGTATAAAACCTTCACTCACAGTTTTCGTATGTTAAAGGTAAATTATTCAAATTCTGCTCATGTTATTGCAAATACTGAAATCGCAAATAGATCAGAGAATTTGCGTATTGCGAATAGATTAATCCAACAAGGTTTTCTATTGTATAAGTTTCAGGCGTACTTTTTTCAAGACAAAATATATAGCAACTCACTAGTAACTTTTTCAACGTAATCAATAGCTGCATCGATTGCTAAATTAAGATCCTTCAATCGAGACTGTTCCTCCAAATAATTATCCAGGCTATCTTCTTCTTCTCCAAGCTTTTTCAATTCTTCATTACTTAAATTATGCAATTCTGGAAATTCAATGCTGATAGAAGATATTGGCTTTCCGCAATTCAAATAAACACAAGGCGTATCAGTGTATGTTGAAGTCATATATTGTATGGATTGTACTGGAGCGGCGGTCGTCGTATGATGAGAGGAAGTACCAAATTGTTGACCCTCTGCCAGACACGTGTTGGCGAAATTATATGTGTAGCTTGAATTTTCATTTGGTGATAAAAATTGAGGATAAGAAGAGTTGTAAAATGAGTTGTAGGATGTCGATGGCCGATCTGAGTATCTTTGGAGATTGTAGGAAGGGGACCTTCGCCCTTGAAGATCTAGAAAAGTAAAATATTATTAAGGCTATTATGGGAACATCCATAAAATCTTCAATGTTAACTCAGCCATTCGGCCATTTTTTATCTAATAAATGGTCATTAGGATGGTAATGGCATGGTCATAAAGATATATATTTTCTGAATTCAGATTTTTCAGTCTTTCTTCCAGATGGAAACTTGGTAATCGATCATTTTCCGATTTTAGAATTTTGTCTGAAAACTATGGAGCTCATTACGGAACGTGAAAATACGACAATTCGAGTACATAAAAGAAAAAAACACTACAAAACCAGGAGTAAAATTGACAATCAAAAAATCACTGTATATGTCGATACATTTATCTCTTGAAAATTGTAACGGCCACGTGAGTTGAGACGAATCGGGACAGATAACAAATAATTATGTCTCAAAGAGATACTTATTAGATCGATGGTCTGAGCTCAGAGGGCAAGTCTTATACAAGAATTTTTCAACCCGATAAAAGGGAGAAGCAACTAAAGACCTTAAGTAACTGAGTCCTTACTGTGATGGAGGAGAGGTACGCCTAGAGAACGAGACAGTTGATCCCTCAATCCGACAGGGGAGAGGTATGATTAGAGAGCAACCCTGTCTCCTCAGTTCCCGAAGAGGAGAAAAGTGATGTAGCAGCGATGAGAGCTGTCCAGGTGTTTCGCTCTCACTTACAAGAGGAGAAGGAGCTAGTTAGCGAGAACACTGAGAGAGGTTAAGCGGAGCGCTTATAAAGCCACCCAGACAGTTCAGTGCTCAAGGCGAGCCGAGCATGAACAGAAAGTAAGTGCCTGTTGTGCCCCAATATAGCCCGAATGGGAAGACTGGTGGAAATACCTTGTCTGACGTAGCCACTGTCGCGGATCCCGCGGTTTTTTTCGCGGATCTCGCGGTTTTTCTTCTTCTTGATGATTCTCATTTTCTTGTAATTATGCAACGGTTTTGGGGAACAGCTACCAACAGGCGGAGTATGACTCATGCTCCTCGTGCGCAAGAGTGTACTCCCCCCTGGCCCCCAGGCTAAGACCTGGAAACGGCACGAGGCCACTCGACTCCCCGATAATCCGGAAGCTGAAAGATGCCGGG